CTTCTTTAAGTGTTTGGTAGAGGGGTGCCTGGCTGGCTCAGCTGGAGGAGCAACTTGATCTTGGGGTTGTGGATTTGAGTCCCACATAGAGATTACAAAAAAAAAAAAAAAGCTTAAAAAACAATAAATGTTTGATAGCGTTCGCCAGTGAAGCCATCTGGTTTAGGGCTTGTTTTTGTTGGGATGCTTTTAATTAGTGATTTAATCTCTTTACCTGTTATAGGTCTGTTGAGATTTTCTATTTCTTCTTGAGTCGGTTTAGGTTATTTGTATTTCAAGGAATTTGTCCATTTCTTCTAGGTTATCTAATTTGTTGATGTACAATTATTGATAGTGTTGACATAAAATTATTAAAATGCCCTTTTATAATCCTTTCTATCTCTGTAAGGTAAGTAGCTATGTCTCCACTTCCATTTCTGATTTTCATTATGTGTATCTTCTCTCCTTCTTTTCTTAGTGAATCTAGCTAAAGTTTTTTCAATTTTGTTGAACTTTTCAAATAACCACTTTTGGTTTCACTGATTTTCTCTATTCTCTGTTTATCTCTGCTCTAATCTTTATGCTTTCTTTCTGCTAGCTTTGGGTTTAGCTTGTTCTTCTTTTCTAATTCCTTACTGTGTAAACTTAGGTTATTGACTTGAGATATTCTTTTTTAACGTAAGCATTTATAACTATAATTTTACCTCTGAACACTGCTTTCATTATATACCATGATTTTTGGTATGTTGGCTTTAATTTTCATTCATCACAAGGTATTTTGTAATTTCTCTTATGATTTATTCTTTCAAGAAGAAAGCTTTAGGAAGTTTGCATGTGGATTCTTTCAGACTTCTTGTGTATCTTTTTCCCTTATGATCTGGCTATGTATCCTTAGTACACCACTGTAATAAATCTTGGAGTACAACCGTATGCCAAGTCCCATTAGTTCTTCTAGGGACTCTGAATGTTAGGGTGGTCTTGGAGCTTCCCCATAGGTCTATGAGGATTAGATTGCTTAATACATGTAAAGCATCTAGCATCTTGGCTCATGGTAAATTCCCAAAATAAGAATACTGATGGTTATAGTCACAATGGGGATGACCAGTACAGAGACATGAACAGGATAGGTGCTCAAGGTCAATCAATCCAATTCCCATCCTATCCCTCCATCTTCTCCCACTATATTCCCTCATCTAAGTCTCTTAGCAAATGCACAGCCCAATATCTTTATAATGGCATCTCACTGCTGGCAAGTACCTCAAGTTTAGCTTCCTGTTTTACACAGCATAATAGTAAGGCCCAGAGAGGTAAACTGAAATGTCCTGGGTCATGTCATGAGTTGGTGACAAAGTTGTAACAAGAACCCAAGTTTGCCCTTTAAGTCCCTCATTGACTTCACTGACACTTGGTATATGTGATACAGACTAGGAGTAAAATAATTAACCTGGGGCCAGGCTGTCAAGAACCCAGCTGCTGTGGAGGTATTTCCTTCTCTTCCTAGAAAAATAAGAAACCTTGAAAGCTAGGAATTAAGAGAAGCCATAAACAAGTTCAGCCCAAAATCAAATGAGACTACTATTTGATCTAAAGGCAGAGTGAAACAATTTGCCCCCTGCATCTCCATTTCTACAGTACTGTTGTTGACTTCTGCGGGTGAGGTAGTGGGCAGGAAGCAGGAGGCACCGAGGGAGCAGTGAATACCATCAAGCATTGGAACAAAGGGCAAACAAGAGGCAGAGAATAGCCAGTACAGCTGCACTAAATAAAGAACACCCCAAAGAGAATCCCAATATACAAACCACAGCAGGTGAACGGAACCGTCCAATGGGTGCACGACTGCTCAAAATTCTGGGCCATATATGGAACGAAAAGACATGAGACCAGACTGGACCAGAGACCCTCTCGAGCGCTGTCTAGAGGTCTCAAACCACAGCCCACCACCCCTGCCCACCACGGAATGGGCAAACGAGGTGTGCAAGAAAGGAGCACAAAAAAATGTTGAAGGACAGCCGAAACAATGCTCCTGCCAGGTCTCCGGGGTGAGAAGTCTCAGGAATACGGACCCACGTGGCCGCTACGCTCAGCGAGCTCGTCGGTGGCAGTGAAGGAGGCAGCCCTTGTCCGCACGCCTTCCCCCAGCCCCACGCCCTTACTGACCAGCTCCGCAGACGAACTGACAGCCACACAGCACCTCTACGTGAAGCCCAGCCGACGGACGGACAGAGAGCGCCTCCGCGCGGAGGACTGCCCACACACCACCCTACAGACTCCGTCGCAGAGACTGCCAGGGCGGAAGTGCGTCACCGCCCCTCCCGCGCTTGGGCCCGCGCCCGCTCTAGCACGCCCGGAGGCCATCTCTGCGTGTCGTTGGTCCTTCCAGGGCTCTGAGTTCACCTGTGTAACTCTCTGTCCCACCCTCCTGCGGAGCTGCGACCCTATTTGGGAATGGTGAGGCGTGCCGCTGGGCTCCTGGGGCTTGCTCTGGGTAGCTGGCCCCCGGCCACTCGGGAGGGTTGTGAGGGCAGCCGCATAGGCCGATTTCGCTGGGGCCGGCTAGCCTCTGCCCTTGGCAAAGCCGGTGATCGCTGCCCTCCTTCAGACCGCCCTTCGGTGGCTATAGGTGGACTGAACCAGCTGGCGTGAGAGGAGTTGAGTGCAGCGCGATAGGTTAAAGCCCAAATTCGCGCTGAGCCTGCCCAGCCTGCACGGTGCTGAAAACTCCTCGGCTTCCACTGAGCCCTCCAGCCACATTGGCCCCGAATGTGTGTGCACCCCGTTCCTTGGAACGGCGCTGCTACAGTACGTTGGGCGGCATACCCCAAAAGCTCTCAGACCTTCACCTGTAGCACCACCACCATACAACACGCATTGACCAGACTTTGCCTTCCCCCAGGCCTCCATTTAATTACCACCTAATCAGTGTGGCCTTCCTGACTCCCCACCCCACTTTCCGCTCTGCTCCTCCCATTTGCTACCTTTAACACAATTGTAATTACATACTTCTCTGGGCAATGATTTAATATATTTTTCCCTTCCTTAGACAGGTACTAAAGGTATTTGGCGACCGCTCCGTGCAGGGAGACCACCGGATGATACACTCTGCCAGCACCAAATACCTCATGGGGGATGGCTTGAGGACAGGATCTCAACAAAACCATGCTGGACAGACTGTCCTTGGTTATACTGGGGCCCACGGGCCAGAGTCTGGATGCTGGTTGCTTCCACTTCTGCTACAATGTGTTGTTCAAGGCCGGCTACCTGAGCTTATTTGGCTGTACAAAGAACCATGAGCAGGACCTGCTACAGGCAGAGGAGTTATTTGTCCAGTTCCGCAAGTTTGATCTCTTGTTCCCCAGGTTTGTTTATTCCTTGCTGGGGCCCTGGGAGTGGCTAGAAGTGGCCCGGCTCCAGCGGCTCTTCCACAGGATGCTCTCTGTGAACCACCACCTGGAGAAGAATGGCATAAGCAACTGGATATCCTACATGCTTCAGTTTCTGAGGGAGCAGCAGGGGCCATATCTGTCTCATTCAAAGTTGGTTATAGCAGAATTTCTGGCAGTAGGTGCCAAGTAAATATCTGTTGAATGGATATATGGGACTATTCCAAGGAGGGAGGGAATGAAATGAATCAAGGTAAGAATGAATGTAACATGGTGCTGTCATCCATTAAAAACTGGGGAACAATGTTTAGCTTATGCATGTTGGCCCACAATTTCTGACTGCAGATTCAGGCTGGGGAGAGTGGATGATTCTGAGTACTTGCTGTGGTTTCCCTAAGCAATCAGAGAGGACTTCATGGAAGCAGAGTGTAGACATTTCCAGCTCCCTGCAGAGGGGAATGGCACAAGGCAAAGGGAACTCAAGAGGTCATGTGGAAATCAGAGGAGACAAAGTCCCTGTTTGCCAATCAATTAGGAAGTTAAAGAGTAACCTGAGGTCACTAGAACTGGTTGAATTGAGTCTGAACCTCACCTTATTGCAACAATGGCCTTAGAGTCAATGGCAGAACTTTCTCCTTCCTGGGCCTGCTGGCAGGGACCTAGCCTGACACCTCACAAAAGGCCCCCAGTAAATGGTCAGCTCACCTCACCCAAGCCAGGACAGCAGTGAGAGAAAGTTCCCACTATACTCTGAGACTACACCCTTATCATGAAATAAAGTGATTGGTTTGAAGTCCTTCTCATCTCTGACATTTCATAATTCCAAGATTCTGAATCTGTCTTTCTTGCTAGAGAAGTGTGCAAACTAGGCCAGGGGTAGGGCTCCAGTCCAGAGGCTGAGGGATGGTAGTCTGAACCTCTGCTTTAAGAGTCATCAGTCTGGGAGGCTCTCTGGGTCATTTAATAATGAGGAACGGACAGGATGTGAAACTTTTCTTTTTAATTTAATTTAATTAATTTATTTATTTAGAGTGGAAGAGGGGCAGAGAGACAGGGAGAGGGAGAGAGAGAGAAAATCCTAAGCAGGCTCCGTACTGTCAGTGCAGAGCCCAGGACAGGGCTCAAACTCATGAACCATGAGATCATGACCTGAGCCGAAATCAACAGTCAGACACTTAACTGACTGAGCCACTGAGACACCCCTAAATGTGAAACTTAATAAATGAGTGTTGAATTTATGCTGAGTGAGGTAGTAAACTAATGAATAAATGAATCCTTGAAAAAATACAGGTGTGAATGGTCAGTAAATCGTGGGGATGGGGTGGGATCCATGAGAGCTTTGTAGATACCATTCTGGGGCTGGGTCTGAAAAGATTACAGCAAAGCCTAAAGCTGGTGAGGAGAGGCTTCTTTCTGGGCTTCCTTCTGGTCCCACCCCCTCCTTCCACACGACGAGGTTGCAGCAAGTGCTAAATCTAGGAGAACGTTTTGCTCCTAAGTACTGTCTTGCCAGGGATTTTTGGTATAACTTACTGCCACAGGGCAAGGTCCAGGTCCACCCCCAGCTTGTCAAGGCCTCTCAAAAGCTCTCTGGCACTTAGAGAACAGTGTGTCCAGAGCTCAACCTGGAAGAGCATAGCCATGGTGCTCTGGGGTCTGGTGCTGGGAACCCTGCTGGTGGCCGTGGTGGGGTGCCTGTGGCTGCTGGGGCTGTTCCGGCAACGCAGACCTCAGGAGCCCCCTCTGGATAAGGGCTTCATACCCTGGCTGGGCCATGCCATGGCTTTCCGGAAGAATATGTTTGAATTCCTGAAGTATATGCGGGCCAAGCATGGAGATGTGTTCACAGTGCAGCTAGGGGGCCAGTACTTCACCTTTGTCATGGACCCGCTCTCCTTTGGCTCCATCCTCAAGGATGCACAGAGAAAACTAGACTTTGTGAAATATGCAGAAAAACTGGTGTTAAAGGTATTTGGCTACCGCTCCATGCAGGGAGACCACCGGATGATACACTCTGCCAGCACCAAATACCTCATGGGGGATGGCTTGGAGGATCTCAACAAAACCATGCTGGACAGCCTGTCCTTGGTTATACTGGGGCCCACGGGCCAGAGTCTGGATGCTGGTTGCTGGCGTGAAGACGGCCTCTTCCACTTCTGCTACAATGTGTTGTTCAAGGCCGGCTACCTGAGCTTATTTGGCTGTACGAAGAACCAGGAGCAGGACCTGCTACAGGCAGAGGAGTTATTTGTCCAGTTCCGCAAGTTTGATCTCTTGTTCCCCAGGTTTGTTTATTCCTTGCTGGGGCCCTGGGAGTGGCTAGAAGTGGCCCGGCTCCAGCGGCTCTTCCACAGGATGCTCTCCGTGAACCACAACCTTGAGAAGAATGGCATAAGCAACTGGATCTCCTACATGCTTCAGTGTCTGAGGGAGCAGGGAACGGCCCCAGCCATGCAAGACAAGTTCAACTTCATGATGCTCTGGGCCTCTCAGGGGAACACGGGGCCTAATTCTTTCTGGGCCCTTTTGTTCCTCCTAAAGCACCCGGAAGCCATGCGCGCTGTGAGGGAGGAGGCTGCCCAAGTCCTAGGGGAGGCCAAGCTGAAGGCTAGGCAATCCTTTGGCATTGAGATCAGCGCCCTGCACCACACGCCAGTGCTGGACAGCGTGATGGAGGAGACGCTGAGGCTGGGAACCGCACCCACCCTCCTCAGAGTGGTGCACGGTGACCATATGCTGAAGATGGCCAGTGGACAGGAGTACCTGCTCCGCAGTGGAGACATCGTGGCCCTCTTCCCTTATCTTTCAGTGCACATGGATCCTGACATCCACCCGGAACCCACTGCCTTCAAATACGATCGCTTCCTCAACCCCAACGGTAGTCGCAAAGTGGACTTCTACAAGTCAGGCAAGAAGATCCACCACTATACCATGCCGTGGGGCTCGGGTGTCTCCATCTGCCCTGGGAGGTTCTTGGCCCTCAGTGAGATGAAGCTTTTTGTCCTGCTCATGGTCACATACTTTGACCTGGAACTGGTGGATCCTGATACACCTGTGCCACCTGTGGACCCCCGGCGCTGGGGCTTTGGCACCACACAGCCGAGCCGTGAGGTGCGGTTCCGCTACCGCCTGCGTCCTGCCAAGTGAGCTCCGCCAAGGGGGCCGCAGGCCTGGCCAGGGAGGCTCCCTTAGGGTCTCCGCCTCCTCTCACCCCTCTGAAGCCCCACCCTCGCCTCCGGTTCTGTGATACCTCCTACCTGTGTCCTAGTCGCCTTCCTTGCTCTCTGGTTTTCCTCTAGCCACCTGATGGGCTTATCTTTCTCTCTTGAAACACCGTCTGTCACCGTGGGTTCCGCAGAACCTTCCTCTCATATGAAGTCCAGGGGAATGGGGGGAAATCTGGGGGAAACTTAGTTGGGGAAATGATGGCATAGCTTGACGAGTCTTGCCGTACAGAAACCAGTCATCATGAGTAACACAGTGTCCTGCAAATGTTAACCTCCACCCTCCCACCTCACTGTATTATCTTCCTCAATGCTTACTCCACATCCTGTGGAATTCAGGTTCGTCCAAAGCAATACGAGGCAAGCCACATGTGTCATTTTTAATTTCCTAGTTGATACATTTTTTTAAAAGGTAAAAAGAAACAGGTGAAGTTAATGTTTATACTTAACTTAGCCCAATAGATCAAAAATATTAGCATTTCAATATGTCAATATAAGAACATTAGTAAAATATGTATTTTTTAGTAACATTGGGACAAAATATGTATATAAAACATTAGTAAAAAAAAATATATATATATATATAGTTTTTTAATTTCTTTTTGTGTGTGTGTTGCCTTCAAAATCTGGTATGTACTTTTTACCCTTGCAGTGTATCTCACTTCAGACTAGCCACATTCTAGTGCTCACCAACCACATGTGGCTAGTGGCTCCTGAATTAGATAGAGCAGGTCTGGAGAAACGCTGCCTTTCACATAGGAGTTATTCAAGCCCCCCCCTCCCTCAGTGCCCTTGTCTCCCCTCCACACTCCCACCTCAGGGTGGTCTCAATCCCACCTGTGGTCTCCACAACCACAGCTGAGTTCAGAGCTCTCTCCTACTTCCAGACCCTCAATCTCCCCGCTGGGGTCCCACAGCACCTCTGACTCAGTTTGGCCCACACAGAACTCAGCATCTGTCTCCCCACCTCTGTCCTGAACCACCTCCTTCTCCGGATTACCCTACCTGCCTCTGCTCCGGACACCACCACCCACCCCATCCCCCAGGACAGATCTGGGAGAAACCGGATCTCCTCCCCACTCTCACCCACAAACAGTCAGGCCCCAGTTCTGTCAGTTCAACCCTCTGTCGTGCCTCCGAAACTGTCCTCTTTTCCCCAGCCCCACTGCCATTCCTATGACTCAGCACTCTGCACACCAGGCCTGCCTGGCCCTCGGTACACCCAGCTGCCAGAGACCTTTCACCAGACCTTTTGCCTGTCATACTTTCACTTTTCTGGTTCCCTGTCACCTCCTTGCACCTAACATTTGAATTTTGCCACAGTTGATCCCAAATGTTCAATCCAGTGCAATTCAGCCTTACCAACTTTCTCCAGTGGAACTGTCTGGAAAGTACAGTTGCTTGCTTTTTACTGCCAACCTGGAGGCCTTCCTGGATCTCACCCATTCCAGCCTCTGGCCAGAAATGGGCTCCCTCCCCTGAGGTTCCCCTGACACAGCTTGTGTCCCAGCACATCTGTTACTTGTTGTTGCTCTCTGTTTCCTGCTTTCCTCCTCCTGCCCCCTCCCCTGGACTGCAGCCCACAGGGCTTGGTATCTTATTACTTCATCCCTGACCCCCAATTCCCTAAATGGAGATTAAATGATAGAAAATTGGCTCAGTCTCAGCTACTTTACTTCATGTCCTCAAATCATTTCCTTCCCCTCCCTGGCCTCACTCAGCTTCCTGGCATGTGAAATGGAGACAGTCCCATTGCCAGGCTTGCCTACCAGGGCTGGAAGTGCTGCTACCAGAGCCACAGCTGGCTGATGGCAGGGCCTGGCTGCGGCTGGGGCTGGAACAGGAGGAGCAGTCACTGGGAGCTTGCGTAGAGTCCTGGAGAAGGGAGGCCGGGCAGCAGAGACCCCCTGCAAGGATGCCTAGTGGGGCTTCTCTCCACTCACCTCTCCCAAATCTGTGACTGGCCTCTTGCATTTTTTTGAGGCTGGCTGTTCTGCCCTGAGTTTTGCCAAGATAACAGGCTATTAGAGTAACTCAGGCAAGGGCTGGGGCTGGGGCTGGGGCTGGAGGCAGGAGTCTGTCCCCACTAGCTGTGTGACTGTGGGCCAGAGTCTGCCCTCCTCTGGGTCTAACTGCCCCCAAATGACAACCTCTGTCTAGAGCCTGACAGAGCTCTGACTGCCTTGGAGAAGCCAGGATATCCTAACCTATCCCACAAGGGGCCAGGAGCACAAGAAGAGACACACAGGGAGAACAGGGGAGGGAGAAGGGGACTGAGAGGCTGGAAACCACCATGGAGAGCTTATCAATGACCTCCCCACACAGCCAGGCCCTGTGCCAGAGCAGGTATTGGGATACAGGCAAAGATGCAGGGCCTTCACACACCTCCTGGGCACTGCTCAGGTGCTACACCCCCTCATTTCCCCTATACCCAAAGAAATCTGGACCAAGGGCCTGGCCTGTCAACAGGCTGGGGGGCAGGACTGAGGGCCCAAATCCATTAAGTCAAGACCAAGAGGTCTCAACTGAGAGTGATCTCCCAGGAACTGCATGTTTGAGGGTATACCTGGGACCAAGGGAAGCCTCAGTGGGTCAGAGGTGTGGGGTGACTACAAGTATACCGTCCCACAGCCCATAACAACAGGCCTCCCAGGAAGCAGTGAGCACCCAGGATTATAGTGTGCATGTAGGGGCCAATGCCCAGCTGCGGGCACAGGAGGGGCCCATGGCACCTGTAGTCCTACGCCCCTTGCATGGGGACTGGACACACTCTCTGCAAGGGCCACCCTTCCTTCCCTAGCAAGGACCTTGAGGCAGTAGGAAGATTGAGACCCCCAAGGATACATCTAATCACTACCTGTCCTGACACAACAGTCCTGACCCCCAAATCCTCATTTTTGCACCAAATTTTTTCTCCCTCAAAGAAAAGCCCACTATGTGTATTCTCTAAGGATAGCTTATAACAAAGTAAGATCAGAGATGGCATGCCAAAGGTGGAACTGCAGGTACCTGGGAAAGAAAAATATTTTTTCCATAGGCAGTAATAGCTGTAAACCCTCAAACCACATTTCACAGGGTAGAGGCAGAGCCATGCCTGTCCCTCTCCCTGGGTCAGCCAGGGGAAGAGTCCATCTTGCCGCAGAGTCTGAGGACCAAGAGAATCCTGGGAGCTTTCCTGGAAAGGCGTGAGCAGTGTAGCCAGCAAACTAGGCCTTTGGGTGGGCAGACGGAGAGCAGCAGGAGGAACCGAGGTGCGGACTGGGAAGTAAGGTCAGGATGAAGAGGTCTCTGTCCTGGCCTGGGCTGTGAGAGCCCAGCTCCAACTTGCTTCCTGACCAGTGCCTTCTGTGCTGTAGTCAGAGCCCTCGCCATGGTCAGCTGCAGTACATGGCAACTAGGACAGTGAGAGGGACCGAGGGGTCACTGGTGGCCACCCTTTCCCCTGCCCCTTGGGCACCGGCTTCAGGGCACTTCTTATATACCTGTTGTTTGCAGAGAGCACATACCCACACTTACACAGCTAGAGAAAGACACATAGGAACACACAGACACAAGGCCCAGGGGACACAGTGACACATTCATGTCAGATCCACATAGCTATATGTACTATGCACAGCCCACACAGCAACACAGACATGTGCACATAGACTACACGTACACACATCTGCCAGTGCTGGGGATAAGCCCTGCTAGGTGTCCCTTGGCTGGCATACCTTATCCCATCTCATCTATGCATCATGGATACGATGTCAGAGACTCTGGGTACCTAGACCCAGTTGGTACAGCTCAGGCTGTATCTCACCAGTCAGGCTGCTATGTGGGCAGGACTGAGGTCCCTTGTGCACCAGATTTCAGGAGCTCCAAAATAGAACCCCACTCCCCCACATCCTCAAACAAATCATCACCTTCAGATACAGAGCTTCATTTCCCAGGGCACCAATGGAGCTCAGAGTCCTTCCTGACAGTGGGACTCTGGGGCCTTAGGAGAGACAGCTAAAGAACAAGGATGAGGGGACAGCTGGCTGAAAAAATGATCCCTGTTACACAAGAAAGTGGGCAAGCACAAAACATAGAGGTGGGAATGTGTAAGAGACAAGGGGTACCTGGTGTCCAGGAAGTGAAAAGGAATGACGGACTATAAGGGTAAGATGGCATATGGGATTCTACGTGTGAAAGCTCCAGCCCTGAAGCCAGACAAAAAATTTAGACTTGATTGTGCAGGCCCCAGGGACCCTTGAAGGCTCCAGAGCGGGGCATGGGAAGCACAAGAAGGAAGAGCCTCCTGGACTGCCATGTTCACCTGGCATCCCACCTGCTGACTCTCATGTTCCTGGGAAGCTCCCCAGGTGGGGCACTTCCAGGCCCTCCGGCTTGCCAGACCCTTGGCAGTGCCATCAAAGCTGTGACATTAAACGATACTGCAACAATATTTTCCCAGCTGAGCTACAGGGAAGAGGGTACACTGGTGGGTGGCAAGCCTTGGACTACTCTGAGGAAGATGGCACTGATGGCTGAGGGTGGGTGATCATGCTGGCTGCTGGAAGCAGATTAGATGATAGGACGTAGCATGATGATAAGAAGCACAGAGGTCAGTTAGGACACACTGTAGCGATTCATGCAAGAGAGTATGATTTCCTGGAAGGCAATAAAGAAAGTGAAAGGAAGAGGCAGGAGTAAGTAAATGCTGCTGATGGTTGAGAACTGAGAACTGACCACTGGGTCTGACAACATGGTCCATGAGGCCCCTGAAGAGAGGACTTTGGGTGGATGCCCAACTGAGCTGGGTCCCATCCACTCTCACCAGACTGTGGTATGGCCACTCAGGCTTCATTTTCTCCCGTGTCATTCATGTCAGGGGAGTGCTCAGCCTGCCTCTCCCCAAGGTCATTCATGCCAGTCATTTCTTCTTGGGCAGTGAGCCTG